TTACTATATTCCTAAGGACATGCTCATGCGTAAATCGCACCAGATTTCTCTCCGTGTATAACAAATACTAACTTCAGGTGTGGACAGAATGAACGAAAGATATTCACGATTATTGTATGTAATTTTATTTGAAATGATTACATAGTAGAATAAACAGTAGAAAGTGCGAAGATATATTGAATGTAAGTACAATTTTATACAAAGATTATATAAAAATTTAATTTTGTGTTTTTATAGAAAATTAAGTTTTAAAATTAGCAAAAATGTTATCGTAATTTTTGGCTAAAAAACAAGGGTTTTCATACAAGATACGAGATACGTAGTTATTTTAAACTTTAAAGATACTTTTTTCAAGTTTTATGGGTATTCTAAAAATGCATAAATTTGGAGGTTATGTTTATGTCACATCAAATTATTTCATACATTGATAAGAAAATTTACTTTATGCACTAATGTGTTTTAATTTAATAAAATATTCACAAGTCACTCGTTTTTCAGTAGCATTGAGAATACATAACTATTCTTTCTTCAACAATATCAAATTTATCTTAAAGTTAAAAAATTTAAAATAAGCACTTTTTAAGTTATTAAAAATTAAAAGTCCACTTAATACATTCAATAACACAGTTTACTGACCCTATAAGGGTTTGATGTATCGCATGTACTTATAGTACATGCGATACATCAAATAAATTTGCCACTTATCAATACTTGCAACTATTTATCGCAAATAAAAATACATTGACATTTGTGCTTTTGATGAATTTTTGAGGTTAGGTTATTGAAATGAAAATTAAATCACCAAAAAACAAATTAGGTTAAATGCATACACAAATTTATTATTTTATAGTGTAGAATTCTTATTTCTCTCAAACTTAGTTTATAACAATTCAGGGATGTGTCCGGAAACAGAACAGAAAGGAAAAATCACTTCTGTTCTGTTCCGTGCCTGAGAATCGAAACGAAAGTATAGAGGGACTTTCGTTCCGTTCCAAGAACAGAAACAAAAGTTGGGTAACAATAGTCATTAGTCCAAAGTAATCTAGATCTCGTACGTAATCTATTCGCAAACAGTCCGCAATAATACGTCCGCTTTAATCCGCATTAAACCGAAATTAATATACTAAAATCTTATTTCGAAGTCACTTGGAAACTATCCGAAATCAGTATGTATGTAATACGTTGTTGGTCTGCAACGATCAGATTTTAATATAATTGAAACATAGGATTATTACGGAACAATTCCTATTTTCATCGTAAAAAAATATTATTTTCGGACTTGACCAGACTAATCCTTTAATCGATATTTTCATACAACCTGACTAACTCAGGATTAGCTTGTACTAATTCCGGATTCGCATCTTTATACTAAAACCGCATTGCATCTAAATATTTTTAATCTTTTGACTATTGGAATAACTCTTCAATGTCCCCCTAAACCAATCATATTCGTTTGACATAAAAGAATTGATTTGTTTATAAAAAAGAAAAAGATTCTCAATAGGCACACTTAAGAGAAGAAAAAAAATAAATTTTTGATTACCCCCTTGATGCCCCCCTAAACGAATTTTATTAAATCCTACAATAAATTAGTTTGTTTAAAAAAATCAAAATTTATTTTCTTTTAAAAAAAAAAACTTTATTTAGCCGCCAACGGTTCTTATTCTATCATTATTTTCCTCCTCCTTCTCAACATCCTCCTCAATTATTTAATCATAATTTGGAAATATCTCCATTATTCCCGGTGCTAATTGTACTAACTGTATATCAATTAACTTGTCATCTACTGACCAAAGCCTGTTTAAGATTCCCCAACCCATGTTTACATCGTTTATTCTAGCCTTGAAATAAAATTGGAAGGTTCTATTTTGCATCAGAATACAAAATCTATTGATTGCATCTTTGTCCCAATAGATATTATTGTTAGGTAAGATATCTGTTAATGCTATCTTTGTTAGATTTTTTTTATGTACAAAAATTTGTATATTAAGGGCCGGTTTCACCAACTATGGTTAAAAGTTAATCAGCGATTAAAGCCAATTTAACCGCTCATGATTGGTCGGTTAGGGATTTAATCGCTGATTAACTTTTAACCGGAGTTGATGAAACTGGCCCTAAGTAAAAGATATTTTCCCTAACTATATGTAAATGGACATCGTTGTCCACATCGTACACGAGAAACACGTCTTGCACTCCAGTATTAAACAATATGAGAATTCCTCTTATATATGAATTGTTATTCGTCTTTGCTATTACAGGCCATCCTGCGTAATTAGTTAATTCGCCTTCAAATATAAATCTATATGATTCATCATATAGTGAATAGAATTCATTGCATTCAGCCATTTGTTGTTTATGACTTACTTGGAATTCATCTACTCTCACTTTTATAAACGATGGACTAATAGTGTTTAATACGCTTACGTTGTATTTTTTATTAGAATGGAGTATTTCAGAAGGATATTGCTCCATTGAAAGAACAATATCAAAATCATAATGATCGTTATCCATCTTTAAAAAAATCATATTTAACTAATCAATTATTTTTATAATTTATAAAATATAATGTAGATAACAATATGAAAAATAAAAGGAAAGAGAAGAGAGAGAAGAGAAAAAAATACTAATAAGATATTCTATATAATCCGGTAACACCTAAAATCACTCACGACGCAAAGAGAAAATAAAGATAAGAAAGGAAACAGAAAAAAAAAATTTCATTTATAACTTTCCTGTTTTTATTATTTTTTTTACATTTTTTTTTAAATTTATGAAATAAAATTTGTATTTTATAATCTGAATAAAAAGGTCCGAAGAGTTTCTCCAGATTAATCTGCGTTTTTTCAACTTTATTAATTTTAATATTTTTAATTTTATTAACAGTTTTGATAATTTTTCTCCTAGCTTTGGAACTTTTTTTTATTTATTTTTTCAGAGTTTAGATTTTTTTGTTTCTGTAGATTTGTTCTTTTTTTCTACGTTAGTTTTTTTATTCTTTTTATATCAGTAACATTGTCGGAGATTGTGGGTCCCCTTTTTAATTCATATTTATCGCAATTGCGATATTTGCGGGTCATGTTCCCTTGGTCGGTTGTTATAACTTCCATCTTTAAAAATAAAAAAATTTTTTTGCTAATTAACCCCTTTTTTATTTTTATTTATTTATTTTATTTTTAACACTTTTTATTTTTATGAGGTTTATTATTATTGTCTTTTAGGTATATGCTGTAATGTTTGTTTTAAAATTGTAACATTACATTTATGTGCAATAAATTTCAATGTTTTTAAATCTTTCAATAACATTATGTCATGTTCACAATTGCTATTAAATTTATGAGGCAAAATTCCTGAAATGTCCAAACAAAAAATTAAAAGTTCTCGAATTTAATCCATACTTTTCTAAAATGTTGTTATTGTTGGTGAAAGTCTAAAAATAAATTATTATTGAATTTAATAAAATAGTTTTTGAATTACAACGTTTTTAATTTTTGACTTTGGAAAAAAAATTTTTTTTTCAATGTACAATATCTATAAGTAGAATGCATAAAAGTTAACATATATATATAATGATTTTTAAAGCTTTTTTGACGGGCTACACGCTGTTAATAAATTTTTTTTTTAAATAACATTTGACCTTGAAATTCAGGGTCAAAATGTTAATTTACGTTTATCTCAAAATCGGATTTTTTAAAATTATTTTTAACTATCTCAATGGTAAGCTTGACTAATTTCCTACAAAACATGTAATTTTCAGAGTGGGATCTTTTAAAGTTTTTGAGATATTAATTAATTAATTAATGTTTATAACAAATGAAATATTTTATAAACGAATAAAGTTACCGTAATTCTGAAGTTAGCAATTGAAACTTAACGTAATTCCGCATCCAACGAGCCCTGTATGAAGTATTTTGGATAAGTAGATTGTTAATAAACAATTAGTTAACATTGCAATTGTTTATTAACAATCTACTTATCCAAAATACTTCATATAGGGCTCGTTGGATGCGGAATTACCTTAACTTTCAATTGGTAAGTTCAGAATTACCATAACTTTATTTGTTTGTAAAATATTTTATTTTTTACTAACAACAAGCATCCAAAAGCCCTATATGAAGTATTTTTGTTCAATTTTAGTTAAATAACAATAAAAAATGAAATATCTTACAAACAAATAAAGTTATCGTAAATCTAAATTAACCAATTGAAAGTTAAGCTAATTCCGCGTCCAACGAGCCCTATATGAAGTATTTTGGATAAGTAGATTGTTAATAAACAATTGCAATGTTAACTAATTGTTTATTAACAATCTACTTATCCAAAATACTTCATACAGGGCTCGTTGGATGCGGAATTACGTTAAGTTTCAATTGTTAACTTCAGAATTACGGTAACTTTATTCGTTTATAAAATATTTCATTTGTTATAAACATTAATTAATTAATTAATATCTCAAAAACTTTAAAAGATCCCACTCTGAAAATTACATGTTTCGTAGGAAATTAGTCAAGCTTTCCATTGAGATAGTTAAAAATAATTTTAAAAAATCCGATTTTGAGATAAATGTAAATTAACATTTTGACCCTGAATTTCAAGGTCAAATGTTATTTATAAAAAAAAATTTATTAACAGCGTGTAGCCCGTCAAAAAAGCTTTAAAAATCATTATATATATATGTTAAATTTTATGCATTCTACTTATAGATATTGTACATTGAAAAAAAATTTTTTTTTCCAAAGTCAAAAATTAAAAACGTTGTAATTCAAAAACTATTTTATTAAATTCAATAATAATTTATTTTTAGACTTTCACCAACAATAACAACATTTTAGAAAAGTATGGATTAAATTCGAGAACTTTTAATTTTTTGTTTGGACATTTCAGGAATTTTGCCTTTTATATGGAACTTCGTAATGTAACCATGGCCATATATTCTTGAAATTAATGAAAAATGTTTTGTTATCATTTTTATGAAATAATTTAATGAAATAATTTCTAAATGAATGTTACATCCCGTAACAAATACGGTCGACCCGGACCCCTTCCACCAAATTAAACTACCACCATTTAGTAAAGATGACCCAGAACTATGGTTCGTCCAAATCGAAAGATTATTTTCGCGAAAACAAATCCTATCGGAATCGGATAAAGCCGACGTCCTTATATTCGGTTTAAACTCGGAAATCCTATCATGCGTAAAAAACATAGCATTAATGACGCCGAGCCCCGTAGACATTTACTCTCAAATGAAAAAAGCAATTTTATCAAATTTCGGGATTTCAAACGAAATGCGTATGAGACAGTTGATCAAAGGCGATGTTCTGAACGGGAAACCCTCGTTTATTTTAAATCAATTACGTAATATCGCGGGTGACAGCTGCAAGGACGAAGTTCTCCGAACCATCTTTATGGAACACCTTCCGGAAGAACACCGCGTTATTCTCGCCCCTTGCACGGTTCAAAACTTGACTGAGTTAGCAACTATGGCCGACAAAATCTCTGAACAAGTCCAAACCGTTCAACCTCGGGGAAATCAAACCCTTGCAAATGTAGCAGCGGTTTCGACGACGGCAAATACCGAAGCAAGATTAGACGCAATAGTAGCAGAACTCGCGGAAATTAAACAAAAATTCGAACGACCGTATCAGAACAGACGAAGCCGGTTCAGATTTCAATCTCGTAATCGCCGATTCCGTAGTAATTCGCGTGAAAAAGAAAACGAAAAATGCTGGTACCATAAAAAATTCGGGAAAGACGCTCGGAAATGCGGAGAAAACGGATTCACCATGAAATTGCCTACAGCCGCGGGAAACTAAAAAAACCGTACCATATAGAGGCGATTGGCACGGGCGAAAAATCAAAACGCCTCCATATACGTGACAAAAAATCAGGTCTAGTGTTCCTCGTCGATACCGGTTCCGACATATCAATTATACCGAGAAAAAATAAGGAAAAAGGTGAACCATCCGAATTCGTTTTATATGCCGCGAATAATTCTAGGATCGATACTTTCGGCACAAAACATATGCATCTCAACCTCGGTTTGTGCCACGAATTCACATGGCACTTCCATATAGCAACCGTTCCATACCCAATATTGGGAGCAGATTTCCTATCATTTTACGACGTCGCGGTTTGAAAACGAACGGCATCGTTAAATCGGTCTCTTCGGTGAGTATCAACACTGTTAACAAAACTTCTAAATTCGCCCATCTATTCGCAGAATTCCCGGAAATCACCAACCCAACGGCACCTACGATATTCAAAAATAGTCAAGTCTCGCTCCGCATAACGACAACAGGCCAACCTATAGCCCAACGTGCTCGCAAACTATGCCCTGAGAGGAGAAAAGTAGCAAAGGACTACTTCCAACTCATGTGCAATTCCGGCCGTTGCAGCCCGTCCAATGCTTCGTGGGCATCCCCCATTCATATGCAGAAAAAAAAGACGGCTCATGGCGCGTATGCGGGGACTACTGTCGGGTGAACGCAGTTACAGAACCAGATCACTTCCCGATACCACTATTACACGACTTCGCAGCCAACCTTCACGGCACCAAAATTTTTTCTAAACTCGACTTATACTCTGCGTATAATCAAATCCCTATGTTCGAGGACGACATCCCGAAAACTGCAGTGATAACGCCCTTCGGCCTCTATCAATATAATGTGATGACCTTCGGTCTGCGTAACGCAGGAGCAACCTTCCAACGTTACATCCATAAAGCGCTCGGAGACCTTGTGTATCTCTTCGCATACATAGACGACATACTCATAGCCTCCCGGACTATGAAAGAACACAAAAAAAATATAAGAGAGGTGTTCAGTAGATTGCAACAACACGGTTTGCGCATAAATACGGATAAATGTTTTCTCGGCGCGGAAGAAATCGAATTCCTGGGTCATGTAATCAACTCGGAAGGATCGAAACCGACACCAGAAAAAATAAAAGCAATATCAGAGTTCCCTAAACCAAAAACAATTTTAGAACTACGCAAATTCCTCGGGTTAACAAATTTCTATCGCCGTGTTATCAAGAACGCCGCGCAGATTCAAGGACCGTTAAACGCCTTTTTAAAGGACTCGCGAAAAAATTATAAGAGAGTAATCCAGTGGAACCTCGAGGCGGAAAAAGCATTCACCGAGCTCAAAAACGAATTAGCAAAGCAAACGTTACTCACGCACCCGTCGGAAACCGCACCCATGCGCTTTGTGACCGACGCATCCGATTTCGGGATGGGAGCAGTCCTGGAGCAAAAGACCAACGGGGAATGGTCCCCTCTAGGTTTCTTCTCGCGTAAATTCACGCCGGCACAAAAAAGGTACAGCACGTACGACCGCGAGCTTACCGCGATACAAAAAGCAGTCGAGTACTTCCAACACCATCTCGAAAGAGGCGGAACCACGGTACTCACCGACCGAAAACCTCTCATTTACGCTCTTTTTCAAACCACCGACAAAGCATCTGATCGTCAAAGACGACAAATTTCGTTCATATCCCAATACATCAAAAAAATCGAACATATTGCGGGAACTGAAAATGTAGCAGATGCACTGCCGAGAGTAGAAGCAATCACCGTGGCTCCGGAAATTGTATTAAGTGAATTAGCAGCCGCACAAGAAACCGACGAAGAATTGAGAAGTATTATAGAATCGGGAAGCATATCGCTAAAAATAAAAAAAATGAATTTCGGTTCAGATAAAGTTACCATTCATTGCGACATATCGGGCGAGGACGTACGTCCTTTCGTGCCACTCGAGTTTAGAAAAAAATATTTAACATTTTCCACTCACCCGCACACCCAAGCGCGAAAATAACGAGTAAATTAATCAGACAAAGATACGTATGGCCCTCCATCGACAAAGATATAACACAGTGGTCCAAATCATGCCTCGAGTGCCAACGTGCTAAAGTATCGAGACACACGAAATTACAGCCAGCTAGTTTTGTCCCTCTGAACGCGAGATTCCGCCACGTCCACATGGACTTAATAGGACCGTTACCGCGAATTGACAGACTTCAATATTGCCTGACGATGATGGATAGATTTACTCGTTGGCCAGAAGCCATCCCAATTTCGGATATAAGTGCGCAAACAGTATGTAGGGCCATGGTAGACCATTGGATATCGAGATACGGAACACCCGAAACAATCACGACAGACCAGGGCACACAGTTCGAATCGCGCCTCTTCAAGGAACTATTGAGAGTATCGGGTTGCAGCCGAATCCGTACAACCCCATATCACCCGGCGGCAAACGGCCTCATCGAACGTTGGCACAGAACCCTAAAAGGTGCAATAATGTGTCACACAGACAAAGACTGGACTCGCGTGCTCTCTACCGTTTTGCTGGGCATACGCGTAAACATATTGGACTGCGGATCATCCCCAGCAGAGTACCTATACGGGACAACACTTCGCGTGCCTGGCGAGCTGGTGCTGACAGAGGAGGATCAGTCAAACAACGAACAATTCGTATCGGAATTTCGCGAACACATGAAAGAAATCAAACCCTCTCCCGTCGAGCACCACGATCGTCGAAAAGCATTCGTAAGTAAGAATTTAAAAGATTGCACACACATATTTCTACGTGTAGGCGCATCGCGACGTTCGCTGCAATGTCCATATACCGGTCCCCACAAAATAATCGAACGAATATCAGACAGAGTAATAAAGATCGATTTTAACGGTACTCACAAACAGGTCTCAATAGAAAACGTGAAACCGGCAATTCACACATCGGACGAAACGAGCAAACAAGCATCGAGAGTAATTAATCAATTCCCGGGTATATTAAGCAAATTGGCGAATCGTCCCGTTGAACCAATTACTCAAAGAAATGTAACAGAAAAAACGACGAATTATGTAAAGGTTCCGAACGAGACAATTCCCATCGCGGATGAAAAAAGCAAAAAACAAACTCTAACGGAAAAAAATAATATCACTATCGCGACAAAAACGAATGTAAAGAAAACAAAAGAAATTCAGAACAACAACATAGAATTAAAAGCAACCGATGCTGCTTGCACGTCAAAAAAGGAAAGTAAAATATGCGAAAAACGAGTTAGATTTCAACCCGCGATACTTCGAAGAGGAAGAAAGAAATAAACATAAAATATCGTCAAGACTAAATTGAAAGTACAAAATTTTTAAATCTAAATGAAATAGAGGAGTCAATGAACTTAGATGTAAACAGCACGTGGAAGTGAAATATTTTCAGAAAAATAGAATCACGAGTCTAATTTGGAAATTAAAGGGAAGTATATTTTGTTTAGATACATTATGTCTTCTTTTTTGTTAATAGTGGAATCATTCATTTTTATGTGTAACATTTCTGAAAAACATCGTTTTTTATAATTTTGTTCACGGTCTAGTATAAGAACATTATCCCAGTCAAACTCGTGATTCAATTCTGATCGATGTAATCCTACTACTGATTGAGCCGATGTTTTATTTTTAGTATTTTTATGCTCATTAATACGTGTTTTTAATGAACGTTTAGATTCTCCAATGTAATTCGCTGGACAGTTTTTACAATTAAATTTATAAACATTGTTCGTTTCATCCCACTTGCCAATAGGATCCTTACCTAATTTTATAATAGATCTTAAAGGTTTATTAACTATTGGAATAGTATGTTTTTAGAATTTTTGACAATGTAATGAAATTTGAGTTATTATAAGGTAAACTGACTTTAGGAATTTTTTTTATATAAAAGTGCTTGTGAATTTAAAATATTATTAGAAATATTATCATTATTTTTTTATGTAATTTAATGCTATTTAAACGAATTTTAGTATATTTTTTAATAAATTTAAGTGGATAATCATTGTTTTGTAAAATATTATTAATTTTCATTAAATTGTCATTGTAAAAGGAATGATGTGATAATAACATTGCTCGGTCTACAAGGTTATATACAATGTTTATTTTTTGTTTGAGTGGGTGATTTGAAAAGTAATTGATAAGTCTTCCAGAAGAAGATGATTTTTGATACCAATTATATGTAATGTTATTATTTTTTATAATTATAGAAATATCTAAATAATTGATTTGATTGTTATCTTGTTGTTCATAGGTGAATTTTAATTTATTGTGATAAGAATTAAAAGTTTCAATGACAGGGTTAATATGATCTTTATGTATACATAAAAGTGTAGTGTCATAGTGTCATCAACATATCTAAAGTAAAAAGTAGGTACACAATATTGTTCAATTTTTAATTTTTTAAGGCAATCACTTTCCAAATCATCCATTACAATATCAGCGAAAAACGCAAAAATTGGAGAACCCATAGGAGTGCCACCAATCTGTTGATAATATTTTACATCGAAGACAAAGAAGGTGTTTTTATAAAGAAAATCAGTGCTGTGTAAGATATCATTAATGGGGATTTTACAATTATTAATATTTGTGATTCTACGTTCAAGACTTTCAATGACCAAGTCAAGAGGTACGTTGGTAAACAGAGATTTAACGTCCAGAGAGACTAAAATGTAATCATTTGGTATATAATAATTTTTTATTTTTTCAATGAGTTCAAAACTATTATCAATATGTGATTTGAGAATACAGATATTATCTTTTAATTCATTGTACAAGGTTTTTGCTAAAAAATATGTAGTATTCCAATAGTTAATAAAACTTTAAGATCTATTATAAAATTAGGTAAGGATCCTATTGACAAGTGGGATGAAACGAACAATGTTTATAAATTTAATTGTAAAAACTGTCCAGCGAATTATATTGGAGAATCTAAACGTTCATTAAAAACACATATTAATGAGCATAAAAATACTAAAAATAAAACATCGG